TATATATATATATATATATAAAGCTTAATTAAAGAAATGACTTAAAAAAGTAGAAAAAAGAAAACAAAACAAAAGACTTTTGATGGCAGCAATATGCTAGAGAAATTAAATTAAGAAGATAACGTATCCGAATTGATTTATATATTTTAAAGAAATACTTTTTTATTAACTTTACCATTTAAATATTTTTTTCAAAAATAATTTAAAGCAATCAAAATGTTGTGTATAATGTAAGACTTATTGACGGTTGTTAATTCAAAGTTTATTATATAATATAATTTTTTTAAAAATAACTTTATTAATTATACACATCATGTTTAAGTATTTTTTTTATTAAAAATAAAATAATTTGTGCAGAGAAAATGTATTAAATCTTGTCTTAAAAGATATTTTAATACTGACAAACTCTTAGTTTCAAGTTTTAATCATGAAGAGTTTTCATGTTAACTACTAACAAGATTTGCTCATATTTATCTTGTTTAGTACTTAGAAACACTACAAGTGTTTCAGCTAGAAGCATCCTCAAAAAGTAGCACCATAGTCAGTTACTTTATGTGCACAAGACTGTTGAATCAAGGGAGTCCAAGAATGAACATCTTCTCTCAGGGAAAATGCCTTGAAGACGTCGTATAGAAGTCTTTTTCTTCGAACGTTGCATTAGAAAGCTTCAATTCAAGCTCAACTTCACAAAAGATTAGTATTGAAGATCTTGATCAGAAGGTTGCTTAGAAGGAAGCTTCAAAAGAAAATTGCTTCAAAAGGATCTATTGACAACACTAAAGTGAAGTACAAGATTATGTATACATGGCTTAAAAACCAAGCTAGCTCCAATAGATGTATTTTGAAGTCTATAAAAGGAGGATTAAAGCTATCGTTCCAAAGCAAGCAAGATCAAGGAGAGTAATCAAAATACAAGTTTCCATAGTTATAATCCTTGTTTCATACTCTATTTTCATAGATCTTCATTTCTGCATATATTATAAACACTCAATCTTGTAATAGTAAAATGAAGTGTTAAACTTCCTTAGTGGAAGCTCCTAGTTAAGAGAATCTATTGTAACCACAATTGTGTGTTAGGATACACAAATCCTCTTTCTATAATAAATAAATAAATAAATAAACTTTCCTACCTAGATCTGGTGTTTAAAGGTGTAGGAAGAAATGAAAAGCTTCAACTAGTTGGTTGTGTAAACTCATA